TAATAATTCATGAGTCGTGGCCCATGAGCCATGAGCCGTGGCTGACCTTCGCCATTTTTGGGGTCAATTTATCCTGCCGGCAGCCATCACTCCTCGAGCCATCATCTGTCAGCCGAAAGTCGCTCAAGAGCTCAGCTCGGCGCAGACAGAAAGTCGGGCCCATAATTCTGTGTAGGTGTTGCATTTGTCAAGGGTTTACTGTGATTTTGATGACGGGGACAAAGGCCAGAGACGCTTATCCTTGGTAAGAGGTAGAAAATATTATGGCTTACGAATACGAAGCATTGGGATTCTGGAGAAAAGTAAATTCCTTTTTAAATAGGGATTATTGAAACTGAGACAGCTGAGCATATCAATGATTTCCAGGAAAGATTTATTAAAAGACAGCAAAAGCTAATAAATATATTTTAAATTTAATTGGTGAACACTACAGGAGTGAAACATAGTTTAAGATTTTTAATATATTAAAACTCTACCCAAGATCAGCTTGGAATAAAAAACATTGCATACTTTGCAGCGCCTTTTTAGGGAATATTTTGTAGATTTCTTATATAGAATGCCTTCTTCAAAATCTAACATTTATCTCTGGCTTTAAAGATGCCGACAAATTGAGATTTAAAAGCCATTGCTTTCTCCTTTGGCCGCTCTCTAATCTTTTTATCGCCATCTTAATTTCATCAAATTAAATTGGCTTCCTCGACAGCTTGGTTTCTGATCTCCACCGCCACCTGCCACGCCCCAACACCTGGCGCCGCCCCCAGCAAACAATCAACTAACGCAACACGCACACACGCAGACTGCCAGGGAAACACACACACAGACACTCTGTACACACGCTCCAATGATTCAGTCTCCGGTGTCGGCTACTTTGCAGCTGCCAACGCCTTCAACATTTCACGCTGTAAGACACCCTACCACTTATGCACTGTACGAAAATATATAAATTCATAAAATTGACTATGCAGGCTTTTGAGAATTTAGCGAGTTATGATATTTTAGACATTCAGATAGAGGGTAAATGAATATTCCTTTTATTATACCCTTGCAGGGTATTATAATTTCAGTCAGAAGTTTGCAACGCAGTGAAGGAGACGTTTCCGACCCTATAAAGTATATATATTCTTGATCAGCATCAACAGCCGAGTCGATCTAGCCATGTCCGTCTGTCCGTCTGTCTGTCTGTCCGTCTGTCCGTCTGTCTGTCTGTCCGTCTGTCCGTCTGTCTGTCTGTCTGTTTCTACGCAAACTAGTCCCTCAGTTTTAAAGCTATCTTAATGAAACTTTGCATATAGTCTTCTATATGCTCTCACTGCTATATATGTCGGAACGGGCCGGATCGGACGAATATATCATATAGCTGCCATACAAATGTTCGATAAATTTTTAGAAAAAAATTATAACTTAGCTGTTTTTCAACATATGTGCACTATTTTTTAGATATGACCATTTTATATTATTTCTGAATTTTGGTAAAAATTTTATGAAAATCGGACGACTATATCATATAGCTGCCATAGGAACGATCAGGAAATTAGTAGAAAAAAAATTATAACTTCGTTGTTTTTTAAACTATTTTTATCTACTCTGAGATATAAGCTTATTTTATTAGTTCCGAATTTTGGTATAAACTTTATGAAAATCGGACAACTATATCATATAGCTGCCATATAAACCGATCGGTAGGTGTAGGGCAAATGTAAAACTGGGAATGTAAAACTGTAACTCTCAAACTCTCAACATAATAAGTATAGGTAAAATGCAATGAAATAATATCTGCAAGGGTATACAAAATTCGGCGTGCCGAAGTTAGCTTCCTTTCTTGTTTTAAATTGAATTATATATTATTAAATATGATGCATTTTTTTGCAGTCTTTCCTTAATTTTTCCCTGTGCACCTGGGACCCGCAATTTTCCCGCCTCCGTTTTACCTAACTGCCGTCACCTGCAGTCGACCCCGGGTAACATTTTTTATGCGTCCTATTTGCAGCTTTCATGCTTCGACTGCGTATTTCAGCCGCCGGCATTTGAACGACGTCGCGAATGCAAGTTTTTGCCCTTTCTGCAAAAATATTAGGGCTGGAGAGGGGCGAAAAATATCAGGGGGTTGGGATAGGAATGTTAGCCGAGGCACCGAGGCTACTGGGTGTTCGTAGCATTTTTTTTAAAGGGTAAACTGAAGAGCAGAACGGTTGCAGAAATTTGTATGTAAAACCTAAAATAGAAATAAAAAACCTGCACTGAAACATTCAAAACAAAAAGGAAACTAACTTCGGAAAGCCGAAATTTGTATACCCTTGCAGTTTGCCATAGGATCTGTCGTCCAATCACAAATCTATCATAACTAAGCCAAAAAAGCATCAAATTCAATTCGGAAAGTTTTTCTGAGTTAGTTTTTTGTAGGGTAACAATACTGCACACTAAATTTCAAATTTTTGAGATATTACAATTTTTGCTAATTTTTTCTGTGACAATGAACCATTTTAAGACTTCAAAAATACAAAAAGAAATTATGAAAAATGTTTTTCTTCCAAACATGGCTAGATCGACTCCGCTTTTTGTGCTGATCAAGAATATATATGATTTATAGGGTCGGAAATGACTCCTTCGCTGTCAAAAATCATAAAACCACTTAAGAAGATCTAAAATATTCACACTCTTTAAATGAATATTTTTATATATTTTAAATGGTAATTTTTTTATAAAAAATAATCATAACTAAGCCAAAAAAGCATCAAATTCAATTCGGAAAGTTTTTCTGTGCTAGTTTTTTCCAGATAAACAAATCTGCGTACTTAATTTCACATTTTAAGATATTACAATTTTTGCTAATTTTTTCTGTGACAATGAACCATTTTAAGACTTCAAAAATACAAAAAGAAATTATGAAAAATGTTTTTCTTCCAAACATGGCTAGATCGACTCCGCTTTTTGTGCTGATCAAGAATATATATGATTTATAGGGTCGGAAACGACTCCTTCGCTGACTAAAATCATAAAAACCACTCAAGAAGATCTCAAATATTCACTGTCTTTAAATGAATATTTTTATATATTTTAAATGTTAAATTTTGTATAAAAAATAATCATAACTAAGCCAAAAAAGCATCAAATTTAATTCGGAAAGTTTTTCTGTGCTAGTTTTTTCCAGATAAACAAATCTGCATACTAAATTTTACATTTTAAGATATTAAAATTTTTGCAAATTTTTTCTGTGACAATGAACCATTTTAAGACTTCAAAAATACAAAAAGAAATTATGAAAAATGTTTTTCTTCCCAACACGGCTAGATCAACTCCGCTTTTTGTGCTGATCAAGAATATATATGATTTATAGGGTCGGAAATGACTCCTTCATACACTTTTGACTTAAATTATAATATCCTGCAAGGGTATAAAAATCGACGAGAAATCTTTGTAATTAATATGAAAAATGGAAACTTTTTTTTTTAATTCTATTTTTTACCAAAAATAACCGATTAAAAAAACTATATATTTACGAAAATGTGTTAAGAAAAAAAGAGTGTAGAAGAGGTAGAAAATAGGAGAAAGCAAAGGCTTAAAAATAGAAGAAAAACCGATGCTCTCGTGTGCAAACAATTGCACCTATGTAGGTGTGGGAGTGTTTAGTGTGTGTGCTTGAGTGTTTGGTGTGTCTGGCGCATGCATGTGGTTGCGCATGAGTGTATCTATTCGTAAAGTTTCTTTGGCCAAAAGCAAGCATTTGCTAGTTGTAAATCTTTTTATACCCTTGCAGAGTAATATACTTTTGGTCAGAAGCTGTAAAAACTATAAAGAATATATATTCACGATCAGCAGCAAAAGCCGAGTCGATCTAGCCATGTTAAAAGTTACAAACAATTTAATTTTAAAATTTGATATGGTTTGCTAATGAAATAAAAGCAAATTTAGAACAGGTTTCAAAAATATAAATTATATTTATTATTAATAGGGTATCGTGTAGACGAACATGGGCTTCCCGAAGTTAGTTTCCTTTCTTGTTTTAAGCATAGTATTTTGCTGTTACAAAACTGCAGGAGGTGTTACATTCATGCTCTACTTTAAATAAAGTTTCTTCGATACAATACAATCTAATATTTAAAAATAATAAATATCTTTTCATTAAAATCTTATATTTTATTCAATAAAAAACAAGAATTTGGTCTTTTACGTTAAAAAATGTATTTTATTTTAGTAAGTCAGGTTCAAAACAAACTTTTCAACATAAAAAATATTATTTAAAAAAATAATTCAAATATTTTCAGTAGTGATAAACTTTTAATTAAGGGAGTCCGAATATTCTATGCGACTTGACCACTTTTAGCTCGACTTTCTTTTTGTTTTGTACAGCGTTGCCGGCAGTTTTTTACAAAAATGCTAGCGCTCGACTTGTCGTTACGCCCCTTACTCGTGTCACGCCCCCGAGGGAGACCCGCCCACAATTCGCAGCAGCACGAGCAAGAAGCAACGGTAGCATAAATTTCCATTACCGTTGACAAATATTTACACATCGACCTCAATTCATATTCCTTTTGATGCTGTTGCTTTTAGTTTTGCCAGTCGGATGTTGGGCTGGCGAGGAGGCGACGCAATTGAAGGGGGGAGGGTGGAAGGGTTGCGGATCCTTTATGCACTTTGTTTTTGTTGTTGTTGTCACTACGCTGCCTCCGCTGCAATTGCTGCCGGCTATTAAAAGCTGCATTTAGCAGCTAGCTCGCTTTACGTCTCCCTAAACGCCATCTATGTGCATATATGAATGCACTGGGATAAATCTAATGATAATGTGTGAACTATATCTTCAAAAAAATAAATTTAATAAATAAAAAGATCTGTTTTCTCTTCTGCCCATACATTCTGATTGTGTTTAAAAATTTAAACACTAAACTTATTCATTAATACTTATTACAAAGAAAAGTTATGATTTCTGTGCTTCAATGTAGGCCCACATTTTATTCTGGTGTAACTTTTATGATTCTCTACAAAAACAAAAAGAAACCCACACACACAGTCTATCGTTGACCCATCTGTCGGACAGTTTCGTGAGGAAAACTTTGGAAAATATTCCGCGAAAATGTTCCAAATCGAAAGTTACATTTCGGCTCTATTGGTCCTGTTGCTGCTAAAGGACCTAGGATTCGCAGAGGCCGAGCTGCACAACAAGCAGCTAACCATATTTGCCGAGGCGGGACGCCAGGAGTGCTACCTCCAACCCATTGCCGCCTCCGAGAACATACGTATAGATTATCAGGTGATACACGGCGGCCATGGCGAGCCGCACATCAACTTCAACCTAATGGATCCGAGCCGACGCCTCCTGATCACCGATGTCAAGCAGGAGAAGGGCACACATCAACTGGTGGCCCGCGAAACGGGCTCCTACAAGCTCTGCTTCGACAACACCATTAGTTCGTTCAACCAGAAGATCGTAGCCTTTACTTTGGGCGTGACGGCAGCGGACAGAAAGGAACAGGAACTTAGGAATCTGCGGAAGGAAATGCTCACCGATTATCAATTCGATCTGGCCTATACCAGCATTGACAATTACATTTCAAAAATAAGGGTTAACTTTGACAGATCGCGGCAAACTCAAGACTATATACGCACCATCGAGGCCAGGGACCGCCATGTGGCTGAATCCAATTTCGAGAAGGTCAACATTTGGTCGGCCGTGCACCTATTGGCCATGATTATTGTGGGTTGTTTGCAGGTGATAATGCTGCGAAGTATTTTCAGTTTGAACGGGCGGTTTTACAAGTTTTGGAAATGTTTTTGAACCACAAGGAAAATCGATGCGACTTGTTAATTGTTGAATAATTTTAAAGCGGATATAAAAATTGATTAACTTTCTGTGAGAAAATTGTTATATCATTAGTAATATCTTTAATTTGCATTGGTTTAAAATTCTATAAAATAAGCTTTAAACCAAAAGAGATCCTTAAGCTTGCTAACTGGTTCCTTCCACATTTCGCCTGCTCCTTTGCTTCTTGTCGGCGGCTTCCTTCTAACGCCAATTTGCACTTCCCCTGTTTAATTTTTCCTGCTTTTCCTGCTCCTCTCTCCTTGTACTTGCACTCACACCTGCGCTGTGCCACGCCCCTTTTTTCTGTGGGGTCCGCCCAAACGGTGCAGCGCATTGTTGGCGTAATTAACAACTGCGGCGTTGCCGTTCGCCATTGTTTACTCAACGCCAGCGCCTTCGTCGCAGTGTTAATTACTCCCCGGCGTCCCGTCTCCGAGTACATACATATATATGACCCTTAACCCCAGCGAGTCCTGTGGGTCCTCTTGGGACTCCCACTGACACAGTGGCTCACTTAGCCTTCGAGCTTTCAGCTTCGAGCGAGCTCTCCTGGCCGTCGCCGTCGTCCTGCCTTTTGGCTTCTGGGCGAGGCCAGCGGTGATGAAGCGGCAGACGATGACAGCGCTCCCCAACGCCACCGAAAGGTACAAATTAAGGCGCCACCTGTGGCCCAGTCAACTGCCACAGCCAGGGAGGGGTGTGTGTGTAAAATGGAGTGTGCTTTAACAGCGGATTATGAAAAATTACACTATCCACTATATATATTGGTTGCAGCATAAAGATATATGTATATAGTAGCTTTAAAGCATTGCATTTTTAAATTGGAGACTGACACTTTAACCTCGTGAAAAGTTTTTATGGAAAAAGTGGAGTGAATCATGCACGAAGAATTTCCCAAACAAACAACATGCCACACATGTATGCATGCTTACTTCTTGGCAATTAAACGCGCTTAACGGGCAGTTTTACTTAACACTTAAGTGGAGTTTTAAAGCCCGACGGGCTCCTCCGTCAGCGAGATCGTTTATCAGAGGGCCCAGAGGGAATGCAAAAGAAAAGCCGCTGTTAATTTTATTACACCGAATGCAGCAAAGGCGGCCTGGTAGCAGGACAATCGTAAAAAAGGACATTTAATTGCAGCTGCCAAACGATGCCGCCGCCGTCGTTGTCGGCCATTTTAACGATCAAATTATGGGTGGAGAAGACGGAGTAAAGTCGCAATTGCAGCCAGAAATCCCCCGCCAGATAATGTCCTGTCCATTTGGACCATGGAGCGCCAGCTGTCACCGTCCTTCAGCCCTTAAATCTCCCTTTGGTCGCTTAATGAGAAAAGAAGAGCCTCAAAATGAAATCTGGTGACAAATGTATTTAAAGTACGACTCCTTCCCAGGCTGAGGGCGCCAGCAGGAAAACACAACCTGGAGCAGAAGTAAAAGATTATGGCCAAGTAATAGCCTTTTGACACAGATAAAATCTGTTTTCGCAAATTGAAAATCTCAATAAGGGAAAAACCAGCAGAGCATGTGTATGATTTCCAGGAGCAGGGCGTCGATTGACAAAATATTAATGGAAAAGTCAAAGAAATGAAATTCAATAAAAAAGTCGGAGCGGAGGGTGCACAGTGAATAATTTATACTGGGGTTAATGGCGATGATTGAATGTCCTATGAATATTTAACTTTATATATATAAATTCTTAAAAAAATAAAATAATAATAAATCACAGGATAAACCTGCCGTTATGCAGGTTTTTTGTATAGAAAAATAAACTTATTTAAAAACTTACGACAAGTTTTGTTTAATTTATAGAAAACCTGCAATTATAAATGTAATATAAAATGTTTTCTACTTTTTCACCATGTCGAAAAAACACACAAAGCAGAGCTAGCATTAAATACAGGTTACAGGTGGACAGGAGGGCCAAAGGTGAAATCTAGGTGTGCCGGACAAGCAATAAGCAAATGAATATGTAAGAACACGATTCAGTTTAAGGCAGAGCTTGGCATAGATTTGTGGAAAACAAAGGAAGCACCAACACGAAATTTAGTAAGATTACGTTTCCAGGCAGATGACATTCAAAAGATGCAGGAACTAAAAGCTTTCACATGCATATTTTTACCCCGGAGAAATATTTGCCAAACTTTGCAGATTAAATCGTAATTTTTTTCTTTGAGTAACCAAAAATCTTCTCTGCTGTTTTCCCATTAAAGCCACTTCCAATTAGCGTTCAAAGTTGTGTAATATCTTTACATTTGTCAAGAAAATGTGTCTTTAAATGAATTTAAATTTAAATGCATTTATATTCGAATTATAAAGGGTTAAAGTGTTAAATTAATTGATTAGATTTACATATCAGTGTAACAATATAAGTATAAATAATATAAACTATTAATAGCTCACATAAATATAGCCTTATTAATTTATTTTATACGGAAATATATTTTAAGTAAGCGTGAAGCATGAAAATTCTCATTAAATTTAATTTGTCACAATAATAAACAAATTAGATGCAGATGTTTAAAAGTATATATAAAGAAGCCCATAGCTTTTCAATCTGAGAAACTCAAAATGAATACCTATTCCGTTGTCTGGTTGGTAATGATTGGCATTGTAATGTGGTACCCAACAGAAAGTAAGTTTTTCAATTAAAAAATATTTTCAAGTTACTAATAGTAATATTAATATCGTTTTGTTATAGAGCCCGATCCACCTAAAGTGCCCATAGATTTCAACAAGTAGTAATTATATTTATATTTACTTTCAATAAAAATGCAGATGTAAAAAGAAAAATTTTTTACCGGTTTATTATTTTATTATTTCGGTTTTAATTTTATAAAATCGGACGACTCTATATATGCACATACATATATACAGCTATATGAGCTGCCATAGGAACAATAGAAAAATTAATAAAAGCAATAAAGGGTGCTAACTTTGGTAGCTTGCAGGGTATTCCTATTTTAGTCAGACAAACAAAGCAAACATTAATTAGAAACGCTCGGAAAATTGTATAAGAATTTATAAATAAATTATTAAGATGTTTTCAATTAGATTTTAAGATTATTTTTTCTGCATGTACAGTCTGGCAATCAAGCCAAAGCGCTTGAAATTTGCAATCCACAAATGTGGATTCTATTTCAGGATCTCTTTCGCGTAAGAGAGCGGTCCTCGGTTTGTTTGCTTACATTTCAATTTCAAGGGCACGTACGAGAAACACAAAAAATCACAAAAAAAATGAATTCGAGGTGGACAGCAAAGCAAAAGAAAAATGCCGAAGGGAACAAAAACATAACGAGAGAAAGGCACAGTAAAAAACACAAAATACTATATGAGAGCACTGTTTAACTGTACTCACCAATTATTTGTAGCGTCCAAACGTATTTATTCCTTCTCTAAGCAATAACAAACGCAACCTTTTCGGCCGTTTTTTGTCAGTTTTACAATTTTTTCCTCACTCGTTTTTTTCGATTTACCGTTTTACCGATCAAAGCAAGGAAAAGAGCATGAAAGCAAGGCGAAAACAAACGCGACTTGCTCACATCACTCTGTCTCACTCGCACTCGCGCTTGCACTCGGACTAAAACCTAAAACTGAAATAAAACCGAATGCTACGCAGTACCGGGTATAAATTTTACCGACTTTCATTCCGATTTCGATTTTCCACGTCGCGGCGATGTTTTTCCGCTTTTTTCCGACCGTTTTTACCTTTTTTAAGCCCGTTTTCGGAGGAGCACGCGTTTTTGCTGTCGAAAAATTTTGTACCGAAAAATGAAGTGAAGAGGAATGGCGGAAAGCTGGAGGACGACGAAAAGCTGAAGGCTGCGAGAGAGTGAGAGCCAGTTTCAACTCTCTCTCACTCTCTGGAGCGCGATCCTCTCTGTTTACATTTTTATGTGAAGCTTAGTTTCGATAGGAATAGGCACAAATTTAAATACATTTATAATAAACATAAATATATATTTATAATTTATAGTACATATTTAAATTCAATTTAAATTCAATTAAAATCTAGTTACAAAGAGTTTAACTGGTGGTCAATTTTCATTGCGTCATATTTTTGTCAAATGCGTTAATGAAATTTTCCAATGCCTTATACACATTTATAAAAAATAAGAATTTAAATTGAATAAATGAAACAATAAAATAATTTTTTTCCTGTTTTAAATACTTATATAATTATTGATTTATAGTTTTATTTTATACGAAAATATGTAAGACAAAATATTTTATGTAAGCCTTAAGCGTGAAAGTTTAAAATTCTCTGTTTGAATTTATTTCGCCACAGTAATTAATTTATTAGTTACAGGTTTTAAAACTTATATATAAAGTAGCTGAAAAACCTTTCAATTCAATTAGAGAAAATAGTTTAATCTCGAAATGAAGACCTATCTGATTGATTTGTTGGTAGTAATGCTCGGCATTATAGTATGGTACCCAACAGAAAGTAAGTTTTTAAATTAAAAAAATGAATTTTTACTAATGCTGTACACCGCAGTGAAGCCGGTTGGAAAATAAAACTTTAAAACAGTTTTCTTCAAAATCATTAAATATGTAAAATTGTCAAAAATACTTTAATTATGTAAATAATAAATCTGATATATAGTACATAAGCCTTATTTTTGTTTTACTATGATTTCCCTACAATAATTATATCGATAAATATAGATTTACAAAATGCGCAATAAAAGTTAAATTTCGCTTTTGTTTGTACATTTGCTTTATTTATTGTTAGCACGTAATTTACTGTAAATAATATCTTAACATTTGTCAATAAAATTTGGGATTTTGAACTAATTACATTAAAATTCTATTGAAATCTAATTTCAAAGGGTGTAATTGGCAAATAATTTTCATTGCCACAGGTTTTTGTCGGATGTGTTTAATTTATCGAGAAGATTTATATTCCAATGCATATTGCATGAATATATTTAAAAATATATTATAATATTTAATACCTTAAATAAGTTTTAACTTATTGCTTTATTTTGTACGAAAATATGAAAATCGGAATATTTTATGTAAGAGAGAAATCTTAAAGTTCACAATCCTCATTTGTCACAGTAATAAATGAATTAGTTGTGGTTTGTAAAACGTATTTAAAAGCTAGCCCAAGAAATTTTCAATTCAATCCAAGAAATTAGTTCAAAATCGACATGAAGACCTATTGTATTGCCTTGTTCGTAATGCTCGGCATTATATATTGGTTCCCAACAGGCGGCTGTAAGTTTTTAAATTTATAATATATTTTCAAGTGACTAATTTTGTACAACGCAGTTTTTACGCCAGAACCCCGATATAGCCGTAATCGTTAGAAAAAATTGTATATAAACTTTTTTAAAATCATTAAAATTGTAAAAAATCAAGCAATAATAAAACTTATATTATTTTTGGCTTATTATTTTTTTAAACTGTTTAATATAAGTAAAATTTATTTTCCTGTTAGTCTAGTATAGTGTGGTATGAGACTCCTACCCTAACTACTATTATCACACTTCTTCACCACCTCTTACAGCATTCCTGTTCCCGGGTATATCCGTTAGAAATATATTTAAGCAGCTAATTTGTGATTCCATTTTATCACAAAAGTTTCGTTGTGTCTTTTTCCACTCAGCCTGTGCTCCTTTCTTAACCTTTCATCTTGAAAGCAATCCCATTAAGAATGCAAGTTGTGCGCACACACGGCAACGAGCTGGGAAAAAAACAACAGAGGAGGCCAGACTTGTTCATTATGCATGACAACTGACATATCAAGACATATGGTGGAAGCTGGCACGAACTCTGGCACCCGAGACAGCCCTCCAATACATTTCCATCTGTCCAAGCCGTACATATTCCTTCCTATCTATACCCTTACGGGGTATTTTAATTGTTGTTAGAAGTTTGACTGATATTGAAGGAGTCAAACTAATAGAAAAGAAAGTATTAATAATATTAAATATGGTAAAAATAAATTTCCTATTCGTTTCAATTAAAAATTGTAAGAGTACAAACCCTTCGACTTTCTAAAGCTAGGTTCCTTTCTCCTTTTTTTGTGAGGACGCTTTAATTGCAAACTGGCACACACACTCAATGAGCATTTTCGAGTTGCCTTGGCAGTCGCCTCCAATATTGCCTTCTGACCATGGCCATTAGGAGCGGCGGTCACCCTTCCATCTCTGCCATGGAATCAGGCGAGCAAATTGGGTTACTGCTCAACTGTCTGGTTAATGGCTACAATGACACAATTAATTGCATGTTGGCGGCCATTTCCAGGACTCGAGTGGGAGGGAAATGGGTCCGGTCGGCTGCCAACATGAATTAAGTTTTGTGGGCTAAAATTTAATATGCGGCCAATACTAAAAAAAAATTACAAATTAGTTTGGTGACCCCCTCAAAAAGCTGCTACCACTGACAGACGCCAATATGCTGGGGAAAATGGAAAAAGCCTCAAGGAAAATGACAGTTTAAATGGCATTAATGCCGTCGCTGGCAAATTATAATATTCTTATTAAAAAATTGGTTGAAAACTACAGTTTATAGAAAGGAATAAAATATTTTAGAAATATTTCTAGGAATATCAAAATAAATACTAGTAGAGCTTTAGCTAAAAAATTACACCAAACTAGCTTTTCTTAAAACTTCCTTAACTGAATAATAATTAAAGGTTCTCCTATTAAATATTTATGGCAAAACAAATGAAATATTTAATGTTTAATATAACTTTTCAGCTGAAAATGCCTCCTGTTAACGCTGCCAAAGGAGGAGCCTCCCAAGAGGCGATATTCCACATTGTCCTGTGGACCCTTTTTCAGACGATCTGCCGGCGCCGGAATGTCCTGTCCCGGGTCAAAGCGAACTTCCTGCGATTGTGTTGTGTAAGGCCGATGCAGAGCAGAACGCTTTAAACTGCAGAAGAGCTTTCGCTCTTGGTTTTCCGTTTCCATTGCCAGTCGCCCAGTTTCCCAGTTTCCCTCCAAAAGGGAAACTTTGGCAGCAGAAGGCAGCTCATAACAATGAAACTTTGCACGCTTTGGCAATTATGTGAGTGGGCCAACACACACTTGCACACACTTACGCACACACATACACTCTCCACATATCCTTTGGCGAAATTAACCCACTTTTTAGCCGTCCAATGTTTTCTTAGTTGTACCATTTCCATTTCGCTTTATTGGCGAGTATTTTACTTATTCTCCGGGACTTTCTTTGGGGTTTTTTCCAAAGGTTTTTCCCTCTCAAACAATTTGCCAACTTTTGTTTGGTTTCCATTGGCCCAAGTCCAGGCAGGCAGGAGATCCTTTGATGGGTTCTTCTTTGATTCCCACCCGGTGGAAAAGTGCATTTCTGTGTTGAGTGAATTTATGTTTCACATTTATATTTCCCTGTTACCCGAGGACGACTTGTAGTAATATGCAATGCGGATTCCTGCACGCAAATGCATTAGGGCCTGGCTCTTAGTTATTTCCGCAGCATGAATATGCAACTTTTGGCTTTGGTCACTCAAGAAGAATTTGCAAACCGAAATTGCTGTTTGACATGGAAAACAAAGTGGGAAGTGGCTCATTAGAATGCCTTTGAGTCGCCAAAGTCAAGTTGCTAATGGAGCGCGCGATCCTTAAAACGCATGAAGACCCCTCGGGGGAAGAGTGGCAAAAGTTGGCTAATGCGTTGCACTGTCAAAAGCTTGTCCGGAAAATTTTCCGAAGGAGTAGTGACCGAAGTCAGCGAACGCCAACCAAATTACATCCTCCTCCATAAAAAAAATACAGTACAAAGAAAAGCGGGAAATGTGTGTGGTGGGCGTGGTGCGTTTGTTAACTCCGGCATTTAGCGGCTATTAAAAAATGTTGCCAGCCACAGATAATGAGTTTGGCAGCAAAAAACTGCGCCACATTAAGTGAAAAATGCGGCGGAAAGTTTAGCAGCTGATTAACACGATTTAAACGCGGTTAATTTAATGGTTTTAAAATCGTAAAAACATGATGTATTAGCTGGCCATAAATCGCAGTCGTAAAAAGGATGTTAATTGAAACATGTATCCTCTAGACTTTCCCTGAAATTGTATGTGCTTCTTCACGCCTTGATTTCTCATTTCGCTTCGTGTTCAATCAAATGCCATTACGTTCTTGCCTGTAGTTCTGGGCTCTTATCTGCAAAGGGACATAGTTTGTAATGCCTCCCCGCGGAACTATTCATCTTGTCCTTGTTCCATGTCCTTCGCCTAATGCGTAAATGCCTAATGAAACGCGCGTCCCAGCCGAAAAGCGAAAATAAGTCCTTCCTTTGGGAGGCGGCGGGCTACTTAGCATGATGATGGGACTTCGCTTCGCCTCGCCTCGCTCTCCGCTGCTCCGCACACATTTCCCGCCGACAAGCCGAACTAAGGCGAGGACAATGCCGATGCAGGATGCAAGGATGCTGCAGCCACCCCAGTGACAATAATTTAATTTAATGTGTTTGCATGCAGCGACAACAAGAACCGAGGAGGATGCCGTTCTGGGGGCACCAAGATAACTCACAATTTGTGGCCACTGCAATGAGCGAGTTGCAAGTACACTTGAGAAAAAAATGTAATTAAGGTAGAAATATTATATTTGTTGGTTTTAGAAACTCAAACTAAATTTACTAAAAATTATTTGAATGGAAATTACTGCTTTAATTATTTACACGGCATAATTTCTTAATTGTTTTAAATTTAAATAAATACCTTTTTTCTTCTGTGTATTAACCTGCAACTTGGAACTTGCAACCGGCAACCCACAACCCGCAGCGCGCAACTTGCAACGCGCGCACATCTCGCGCTCGGCAACCAAAGGCAGAATTTATGACTCCTTCCGCTTGCCTGGGGTGGGAAATTTCATGCTGAAATTATTAGTGTAAACATTTTGCATTTAATTAATAATGCTCCAAACGAAGCGCCGTTGACAGCAGTGGCCACAAAAGTATGCAGCCAAGTTTGGGTCCAACTTAGTTGTCCGTAATGCGATAATAATGGGCCAACCGACAGCAAAGAGGATTCGGAAAATTATTTATGGGAACGATAGTTGAAGGAGCAAGGTCAAAAAGGGAGTAATCGATAATTATAACGGAAACATAAGTACATGGACTTGTAATTAAAAATGTTCTCCTACATTGAGAAAACGCTTTCAATGACATTTTTATGCCTCAAAAATTAGCAGAGGTGTTTAATGCCATTCTGGCCTAAAAGCAAGGCCTACCCCAATAAGAACTCGAACCCAAAGTATTTCCCCCTTTAAAGGCTCCTTTTCCCAGCCTTCTTTGCCTTTCATCTCCCTCTCCCGAGGAGGCATATAAATTGTCTGGACATTTTCTAGACATCATAATATATAAAGCCTAATAAATATGCGTCGAGAACAACAAGCGAACGTAGCGAATGGAAATCAAAATAAGCTTTTTTGGCCAACAAAAGGACGAAGGACACAACTTAAAGCTGCAGGAAGTGAGCTGAAAAATAAGGGAGGCGCTGGCAGGGGCTCAAATGCGGAGTAATGAGCATAAAAATGCTAACAGAACCACAAAGGATGAAGGAGCACGGAGCAGAGGAACGAAGAGTAGGTGCCAAGACGACCGTAAATCTTTTTGTAGCGCTCTCAAGGTAAAATAACAATTTAAGTTTATTACTGGATAAAAAGACAACAGTAAGAAAAACTTTGCGCAGAGGGAAAAACCGGGAAAACGAGAAAAGCGAGAAAGGGACCACTGACCACTAAGCAACAATGACAGGGGGAGGGACTGGAGACTGGGGGCTGGACAAGACACATATCTATGATATATGACAGTGAGAGCTGTGCGTCAGTTGCCAGGACAGCTGTGAGGATTTGCTCGTCCAGGCTTTTATTTCATTTGGCGCTCGCTGGCACACAAAAAACTTTTCCCCCCATCCCGCGCCATGGCGGGGAAAATATAGCAATGATGGTGGAAAATAAAATAACAAAAAAAAAAAAATGTTGAGGAAGTCGACGAGTCGCGTCGCTTTTATGTAGATTGTCACAGTTGCGCGGTATCTTTTTTTTTTTCTTTTACAAATCTCCAAGATTTTCTTTTACGATGCCACTCGCACACCACCAACCACCCCGAAAATTAACGGGCCAACTACTGAGCGAAGCTTCCTTTTTAGTGGCTCTCGAGATTCCGTTTTTAAGTGAGCCTGTGGCCTTGAGCACGGTTGCCATCTGACTTTTTCCCTGGTAATTATTTTGACAAGCTTGTCGGCTTCAGTTTGCCTTTATGACCGGCTCGCTTTTAACTTATCCCCCTGGTTTTCACTAGATTGGCTACGTTAAGTGTCTGGCTTATGAGGGAATATATTTGACAAGTGTTTTTATAATTTCATTTATTTCTTTCTTTGTTTTTTTAGGAATAAATATTATCAGAAATGTATAACGATTTTTATTTCTT